GAGGTTTCCCCACAGAATCATCGAGGTTGGAAAATACCTTGAAGACCATGCAGTCCAACCATTAACCTCACAATGACCATTCTCCACTCTACCAGATCCCCCAGCGCTGGGTCAAACCGACTCTTCAACCCCTCCAGGGGTGGGGACTCCACCCCTGCCCTGGGCAGCCCATTCCAACACCCAACAACCCCTTCTGCAAAGAAATGATTCCTAAGAGCCAGTCTAACCCTGCCCTGGTGCAGCTTGAGGCCATTCCCTCTTGTCCTGTCACTTGTTACTTGGTTCAAGAGACGCATCCCCAGCTCTCTGCACCCTCCTTTCAGGGAGCTGTAGAGGGCGATGAGGTCTCCCCTCAGCCTCCTCTTCTCCAGACTAAACCCCCCCAGTTCCCTCAGCCGCTCCCCATCAGACCTGTGCTCCAGACCCTGCACCAGCTCCGTTGCCCTTCTCTGGACACGCTCGAGTCATTCAATGTCCTTTTTGTAGTGAGGGGCCCAAAACTGAACACAGGAATCAAGGTGCGGCCTCACCAGTGCTGAGTACAGGGGTCAGATCCCTTCCCTGTCCCTGCTGGCCACGCTATTGCTGATACAAAATTTAATTTATGTCCATTGTCCCTTTTCCTCTACAGAGCACCTCAATAAAAAGCCCAGATCCATCTTCTTAATAAACCCCTTGTAGGCACCTGGGGACTGTTTTTGTGTCCCCCTGAAACCGTTTCTTTCCCAGGCTGAACAAGTCCAGCTCCCACAGCTTCTCCTCTCAGAGCTGGAGGCCCCCATCCCATCTCACTGTCTCTCTGCAGAACGTGCTCAAATTGCACAGCAGCAGGCCAGGTTTCTGATTGGGCTTGTTGGTAACAACAGCTGTTTATGAAGGATTCACACATTCTCATCTACTTCTTACTTGTGATGGAGATTTTTTCCTAATTGCATATACTGCTGTAAGATTCTTGTTATCTGTAGAAAATAAACATGCCTCAGGGCTCATGAAAGATGACAAGGAGTTCACACGGGGCTTTTGTGCAATGAAGATGTGTTCTTGTGACCACACCTTTGTCAGGCCAACTCACTGTGACAAGGA